AGGCCTATAAAGTAAGTATTTTAATCTCTATTTTACTATGAGAAAATTATGGCTCAGAGGGACTATGTGACCTGCTCAAGTCAAACAGGTAATAAGCAGCAGAGCTCAAACTTGAAACTAGGTCCATGACTCCAGTCTACACAGGAGTATGCAGGATCATTTGATATTTTGGCTTGATTTGATTATTGGAAACCATCGTAACAAACCTAAATCTGCTTGAGAAAATGACTTTGTAACAATTACAGCTTAGTGGAAATAAAATATTATGATTCAATTTAAATTATAAGAGTATTTCATTTATAGTGAAAGATTATTTCAAAGTTCTTCCATCATAGACTAGAGCTAGTGGTTCTCAACCTTCTGGCCCTTTAAATACAGTTCCTCATGTTGTGACCCAATCATAAAATTATTTTCATTGCTACTTCATAACTGTAATGTTGCTACTGTTATGAATTGTAATGTAAATATCTGATATGCAGGATGGTCTTAGGTGACCCTTGTGAAAGGGTCGTTCGACCGCCAAAGGGGTCGCAACCCACAGGTTAAGAACCCCTGGACTAGACATATCACTTTCTTAAATACCAATTGCTCCATCTACTGGACCCAATGGGAATACCATACCCACCAAGTATTTAAAAGAGATTCCCATGGTTCATATCCGGGTGCCCACTCAAAAACTAAATAAATACATAAATAAATAAATAAATAAATAAATAAATAAATAAATAAATAAATAAAAAGAGATTCCCAGCAGGAGCCATACCTTCTCTAGGGGGTCTCTTGGAAATTAGTGGAAATATACTTTGGTTATTACAAAGAATAGGGATTTTATTGGCTTTCATTAGGTAGGGTCAGGAATGCATGAAGTCCTCATCAACAAAATATTGCTCCACTTCCAAGAGGGAAAACCCACTTGTATTTATTTATCTGAGCTTGAAACTTAACATCATTTTACATATAAAAACAAAATGTTTACAGTTTTACTACTCAATGAATTTTCCAGGAAGAAAATTATGGCATTTCACCAGTTGTAAAATATAGTATTATTTAAATATCACCAAGAAGGAAAAACAAACAAACATTGCCAACTGAACTATGATGCAATGGCCCTGGCCAAGGTGGCTCTGTTGGTAGGATGTCCTTCTGTGCACCAAAGGTTGCCAGTTTGATTTCCACTCAGGGCACACGCCTGGTTTTAGGCTGGATGCCCAGTAGGGGGCGTGTGGAGGCAATCAATCTATGTATCTCTCTCACTGGGAAGTTTCTCCCTTTCTCTCTCTCCCACCCTCATCCCTCCCACTCTCTCTAGAATCAATGGAAAAAATATCCTCGGGTGAGGATTTTAAAAAAAAAAGGCCTAAAATACACCTATCTGTTTTCCCCTCTCAATCCTTGTTTCTCACTGGTCCTTCTCTTACTTAAACGTGATCATAACCTAGGCTCACCATCATCTACAATGAAGAGTTATATATAATCACAATCACTTCTCTACTGTGATTTTCAGACAATTAAAATTAGAAAAAAATTATTTTTCCTCATTTTCTGTATAAAGTCAATCAAATATTCCATATCACAGCTTTTCCAGTGATAGAAGGACAATATGAGAAGGAAGGATTTCTCCAAAATGTCTCAATATTATTTGGGGAAATTATACTCACCAGAGTCCTGATTACATTTACATGTAACATCTATCACTGGAGTTTTTCCTAACATTACCAGTTAGTGCATTAATTTTCCCAGTAAGCAGAAACAGAGAAAATAACAGGATAACATTATGTAGACAACATAATGGTGACTTTGACAAAAGAAGACGTCTTCTAGGACTGGTCACAGCCTGGCACTGTCTTCTGCTTAAAAATAGAAGGCATATTAGAGTAAAAAAGTTTCCACTTCAGGCCAAATTAAATTATTCCAGTTCCAAGACTGAGAATAATTTCATGGCAATTAGAAGTGGGCCTTGTGGAAAATTCCATTATTCATTCCTTTTAAAAAAATATGTTTTTATTGATTTTAGAGAGACAGGAAGGGAGAGGGAGAGATAGAAACATCAATGAGAAACATTGATTGGCTGCCTCCTGCATGGCCCCCCCGCTGGGGAAATTACACTTACACCCTGGGCATGTGCTCTGACTGGAAATCAAACCTGCTACATCTTGGTGCACCAGACGATGAACTGAGTCACACCAGCTGTGCTCCATTATTCATTCTTATCTATACAAAAGTAATTCCAGCCATGCATCACAGGATCTAGATCCATTTCTTGCAGAGAGAAATGAAGTTAAGTCCTGGAATCATTACCTTGGCTTGTTCAGGAAGCATTAAAAAATCAGAAATACAGTGTTGGTAGTTTGAGGCTTTGCTATGTAAACTCACCTAACTATGTCGGTCCATCCAGAGTTTGTCATACAGTGTGACCACACAAATGTAAATTATTTGCAAAACAAAACTGTTTTTTCCTGTTTCTTTCTTTCTTTCTTTTTTTTAATGCTTCCATAGTCTCTGATGCATATATACAAATTCATTTTGACTAGGACTTTCTTCCTGGAGATAGAGAAGCCCTCCGGTTTCCTGGTGACAGGTAGGGAGGAAAGCAGGGAGGAAATCTGCATGCCCCTTACTTCTACAAGCACCAAGCTGCAGGCAGGAGAAACTGTACTCTATTCTGTAGGGAGCAGCTATGGTTAAGCCTCTGGACTGAACCGGTTGGCACAGCCACAAACAAGTCCCAGCTTAGGGGGCACAGCCGTCTTAGCATCATTAATCTTGACCTTCTGAGGCTCCCTAGATCTTATCTGGGTAGCTAATGGGCTGTGGGAGGTGCAGCAAGTGCTGCCAAAACAAGTGAAGCTCACAAGGACACTGTAACTATGGTGACCACTACCTTGTTTACCTCTGGCCATAAAATAAAGGCTCAGCTTGCTGTCTGGGTCTCTCTCCGTGGCCTCAGTCAGGCACAGGAGTATCCACCTAGAGTCCTGGACCCAGCTTATTCTCTTTGTCTTTCGCCGCCCCCTTTCAGGGTCACTGAACCCTTGACTGAGCTGGCACGGTACACTATTCATTTGTTCCTTTATTAAAATTCTAATAACCTATGCAACGCTGTGCAGTGTGCTAGGCACTAGGTAAACAGTGGTAAACAAAAACATAAGTTCCTGAGGCCTACTTAAAAATGTTTTGTGGTAGATTTTGGCTTTAAATTTGTCTTTCTGTATATTGCATATGTAAATTTCTGGTCTCCATAACCAAAAAGAAACTCAAAATATGAAAAATCAAGTTGTTGGGCAGGACCTCACGGGGTGAAGGGGGTGCTACTAGGAAAAACTGGAGGTACACGTAGACGCAATACACAATCTCAACTCAAGGAGTATTCATCTCATATTACTTCTGTAACAATTACCACAAACTTAATGACTTAAACCGGCGCAAAGTAATTATCCTACAGTGCTGGAGGTTAGGCATCATAAAATCAAGGTATGGCAGAGCTGCTTTCTTTTGCAGAATCTGTTTCCTTACCTTTCCAGCTTCTATCTAGAGGCTGCATTTTATTCTTGGATCCTGGTTCCTTTCTCCATCTTCAGAGCCAGCAGCATAGTATTTTCAAATCTCTCCCTTCTCTCTCTCTCTCTCTCACCTTTGCTTTGGTCATCATCTCTTCTCAGACTGACACTCTTACCTCCTTTTTATATGGACACAGGGTCCACCCAGATAATCCACCATAACCATCCATCTCCAGACCCTTAAGCTAATCATATCTGCAAAGTCGCTTTACCGGGTAGAAAACACATTCATGGGCTCTGAAGATTAGCAGCTGGAAATCTCTGGGAGCCATTACTCAGCCTACCATAGAAAGCAAAGAAAATAGGAAAAAAGTGTTTGGCCCTGACCGGTTTGGCTCAGTGCATAGAGCGCCGGCCTGAGGACTGAAAGGTCCCAGGTTCGATTCCGGTCAAGGGCATGTACCTTGGTTGCGGGCACATCCACAGCAGGGGGTGTGCAGAAGGCAGCTGATTGATGTTTCTCTCTTATGGATGTTTCTAACTCTCTATCCCTCTCCCTTCCTCTCTGTAAAAAGTCAATAAAATATACTTAAAAAGAAAAAAAGTGTTTGCCTCTTTTACACTTCAGCTAACTGCATGTTGGCTTTCTGCAAGTTTGTTTTCCACTTTAAGACCATTTTGGTTATCCATTTTAACTGGCTTTTCTTCCTAAAATGGTGGCAGGTGGTCTTTCTCCGAGGTCTTGGGACTCTCTAACACTGGTTTTCCTCACAAGTCAACAATCTGAAAATAAAACCACCAGAGACAATGGCATAACTCCTAAAGGAACTCTATGAGCTGATTGCCATGAACACACACTTCATTACAGCCAAACTTTCTTCTTGCAGAACTAAATTTGTGAACAGATTAGTCATTTATGGGGCTGGAAATCGCTTTTCTATTTTCTACAGTGAGGGGCCATTGAGCAAGACTTAGCAAACTGATCCTGGCTTAATTCTTGCAGACATTATGCAGCACAAGTTCTTGGATGCAGATTATAAATTTAGGATGAGCAAGGAGTAATATGCATCACCGAGTGGCCTGTGCCCCCAGTCATGTTACAGGCGGGTACTGATATTTTCATGTCTCGTCTCCTTTGAGAAAAGGGAAACAATCTGCGATTCATCCTGGTTTAAAAATACAGGAAGATTTTTGCTTTCGAACATGATGGAATAACAGGGAACAGACTCACCTTCCTGCCTAAGAAATACCGAAAACCAGAGAAAAGTTTTTATACAAAGTATGCAGTGCAGCACTGTGGCCCCTACAATTACCCCAGCGTATGTGCTGGAGGCCGGTTCCAGGTGCATTGTGGGGAGGGCCCTCGGCGCCGTCGGTCTCCGAGTCCCTGGTACATTTACTCACACGTAAGTCAATTTATCGCGCCAACCGATACACTTCCGGTCAGTGAGACGGAGAACGCGCTCGCACCTGGCAACAGCGGCACCAATCACAGACGCAGCGAAGTCGCGCGGTGAGCTCCGCACTGTGACGTCACCCTCACGGAGACCCCCGCGAGATGAGACCGGAGGGTGGGAGGTGCCAGACGCCGCTTCACACCGCCCGCGGCTTCTGTGAGGAAAGCGGCTGCTAATCTACGGTTGGTCTGGCTGCTACGACCACCACCATGAGCGGCCTGAATGGGGCCGAGGGGGCCCCTCTCCTCCAGCCCTGCAGCCCCGATGCTCCCGACGGTGCCACCGGACCCCCCGACCCACACCAGGGCCCGAAGCTCCGTGAGGAAACCGAGGCGGCACAGGTGATGGCGGAGTCGGGGGAGGGAAGCTTGGAGGCCGTCGCGCCCCCACGGGCCCAGCTTCCAGAGGAGGAGGGAGCCTCGCACGACCCTGCGGCCTGCGGCCATGCCCCCCAGTTCGGAGTCGGTGGAGGTCGCAGTTTCGGGGCGCCTGAAGCGGAGCTAGAACAGGCTCCGCCCCCCGCCGGGGCCCCGGTGGCCGAGTCTGTGGCCATGGCAACCGACCGCGGCCTGAACAATGGCTGTCGGCCTGGCGAGCTGCGCGGCGCCGGCGCGGAGAGGCCGGAGGCTGAGGTGGTGGCCGAGGCGAAGGCCGCGGATGAGGCGATGGTGGAAAAGGAAGGAAAGGAGGAGGAGAGAGTAATGGAGCAGGAGGTGGAGGTAGAGGAGAAGCCAGTAGGCGAAGAAGTAGAAATGGCGGAGGCGAACGGAGCGGTGGCGGTGGCGGAGGCGGAGGCAAACAGAGCGGTGGCGGTGGTGATGGAGGGGGCACGGCGCCGGCCCCTGAACGTGAATTTCCGCGTGAACCTCCGCATGAACCCCCTGGAGGCCATCCAGCAGGAACTGGACACGGTGAATGCCCAGGCTGACCGGGCCTTCCAGCAGCTGGAGCAGAAGTTCGGGCGGATGCGCCGGCACTACCTGGAGCGGCGGAACTACATCATTCAGAATATCCCGGGCTTCTGGGTCACCGCCTTTCGGAACCACCCCCAGTTGGCCCCCATGATCAGGGGCCAGGATGCCGAGATGTTAAGATACATCACCCATTTGGAAGTGAAGGAATTCAGACACCCGAAAACTGGCTGCAAGTTCAAGTTCTTCTTCCGAAGAAACCCCTTCTTCAGAAACAAGCTGATCGTCAAGGAGTACGAGGTCAAAGCTTCCGGCCGCGTAGTGTCTCTCTCCACTCCCATCGTGTGGCGTCGGGGTCATGAACCCCAGTCCTTCATTCGCAGAAACCAGGACGTCGTCTGCAATTTCTTCACCTGGTTTTCAGACCACAGCCTGCCAGAGTCTGACAAGATTGCCGAGATCATCAAAGAGGACCTGTGGCCAAACCCTCTGCAGTACTACCTGCTGCAGGAAGGAGTCCGTAGAGCCAGACGTCGCCCCATAAGGGAACCAGTGGAGATCCCCAGGCCGTTTGGGTTCCAGTCTGGTTAAACTTTGTCCTTGGGACTACCTCTGCACAAGGTCCCCTGACTGCTTGCTGAAACCTGTGCTGCAGCAACGGAAAGGGGTATACCTTCTACTGTTTTTTCCCCTGACATTTCTAAGACCTTTTTCCTCTGGACGTTTGTTTACTCAACCGCAAGATTGAGACCTTCATGGCCATGCTTCTCCACTTCTACACAGCCTGACTTTTCCACTGATATGCAACCTTCATGCTGTTCTGCATTTCTGTCACATTCTGCAAGGCCAGGACTCAGGCTACTGCTGAGCCAAGTAAATATGCTGTAAATTTCACTGCCTCTTTCTGCACTGCTTGGACTCTTTGTTTCCAGGGCCTCTGGTGTGGTGGTTCTTACCACCTGGGATTCTAGCTTTGTCTAGAGGCCTGTTCTACCCACTCTGCTCTGCAGGGCAGGCATATAGCCTGTGGACTTTTGCAGAAAATAAAGCAACCAGAGACACTGGAGAGCAGCAGTGGGCCACTTGGTCTTTGTGACTTATGTGACTCCATTGCTCCCCTTGCACCTCTGGTTGTGCCCACTCCTCTTAGCCTGCTGCCTACTGATGAACATCTTCCAGACCATTGTCAGCTCCTCTGATTTCTGGTGAACCAGAATCTCCAGAACTGGTGGTGGACATAAGTTTCCTGCTAGCACAAATTTCCTTTCCAGCCTTTCCATTCCTCTACCCAAAAGGCATCTCAGTTCCTCACCCCATCTTCCCTTGATCCCCATCATCCAGTAGCCCTACTTCAGGGAAGTGGTTGAGGTGACAGTTTAGATCTTGTCCCCCTCATGACAAGTATAAGGATGGTGTCCAGGTTTTCTCAGCATCAACTAGGCAATTCACACAAAACTTAGGTACCTCTTTGTACCTTCTTTCCTCATCCTGAAGTAATTGTCAGGATAGCAGTACACTTTCTCTCTGTGTGTCCCTTATCTCAAAGAAAAAAAAACAACTTAGAAACATCTGCAAAAGCAGATCTTTTAGTTAATTTGGCTCTCCATGATTTCCAGGGACACTTCGACTGGTTGCCTCCTCACATGTTCTGACCGACCAGGGCCGGGAATGAATCTGCAACCCAGGTACGTTTTCTTGACTGGGGATTGAACCCATAACCCTTTGGTGTAGTGGGTCAGTGCTCTAACCACTGCACACACTGGCCAGGATTTTTTTATGTTGTTAATCCTCGCCCAACGCATTCATTTTTAGAGAGAGTGGGGGAGAGGAAGAGGGGTGTGAAAGAAACATCCATGAGAGAGACATCCATTGGTTGCCTCCTGCACACACCCCAACCTGGGCAGGCATCAAACCTGCAATGCAGGTGCATGCCCTTGACCTTGACCAGGAATCAAATTGACAACACTTCAGTGCTTGGGCCAACGCTCTAATCACTGAACCACACTGGCAAGGGTGAGAAGAGTTATTTAAAGAAATGCAACTTTGGATGTTTTCTCATTTTCATTTGACTTAATTTATGTAGATTAATACTGTGTCCTTTACTTCACTAATACTTAGTAAAAGCCTGTTGTTTTCTGTTTTTGCTTACTAGGAAAATTGAGTTATACAAGCTTTCTTTGCTTTTGTTTGGGAACATTTAGAAAAATAACAATCTTTCCAGTACAGTACGATATAGAGACTAAAATGAATATTCCTAATGGTTTTCAACTTGTTCTTGTTTCTGTCAAAACTGCATTCTTAGAAATATAAATAACTTGATCTTGTCAGATTATCAAGACTTTGGAAATTATTGTCTTCATGGAAAAATAACCTGCCAAAACAGCGTGGCTTGATTGTCTTGCTTGATAATTTGCACTGGTAACAACTTATTAACAATTTAGCTTCAGTACTTGGGAGATTGCTCTGTCATTGGAAGTGTATTATTAACATATATGCATGATGGTAAAATAAAAGTATGTTACTTTGTTAAGAGTTCCTATTTTTCACCCTGGCAACAAACATTCTTGAAGAAATTATTAGAGAGAACAGATTATGGAATTTAATAAAGTTCTTAAATGAATACAACAGGCATTATCCAAAAGTAAATAAATATGGCACACTACTACACCTTGAAAGGTAGGAAGGGATGTTGCTTTTGTTTACTTTAAAATGTCAACAATTGCAACTGCTTATTCATGATGTCAGTTTTTCCCCATACACTTTGTGCAGCAACCCCACTCCACTCCAACCTTCACTTCCTTAAAGCTTCCATTTTTGTCTATATAGATAATAGTTTCAGGTCACTCAGGCTAGTTTTAGTCATTTGTGCATTTAATAAGCACACATTCAGAGAATTCTTATCATAAGTGATATACTCTTCTATCCCATACTTTCTCAGCTGTAGAAACTTGTTTGTTCTTCAAACCTCACCATCTTCTATCTCTGTCAGATCTTTCAAGGCCTGTCAAAAATAACTTTTGTTTTGCACTTTTTCTGTTCCCCTTAGGGAAGATGAAACTTTTTTATGTACTTGGTGTACTTTGTAGGATTCTCTGTTCTAGAAAATAACACAGTAATTCATTATATTGAATTCCATGAACATTTGTTAAGGCATCTGTCAGGCCCCAGGAAGATAACAAGTGTAAGAGAGAACCATTCCATTTATTGTTAAAGAACTGGGGAAAGACTGATATGGAAACAAATAATTGGCAGAGTGACAAAGATTTATTTCCATGTCTTTCACTGTCCCTTTCTGGCTTGGAAGTTTTGTGAAAGCAGAGATGGAAAAGGATGTTTTTACCTTTGTCACTGCATCTAGCTTAATGTATATAGTTGTCACCAGATAAATACTGGATGACAAAATAACTAAAATGGAGAAAAGAAACAACCTAGTACCCAGCCAAGCATGTCAAACGAGGCTGGCAGGCTGCATGTGGCCCACAAGGAATATTTTTGCGGCCCAGCCAATATAATGGTATGTAAGGAATGTTTTAATAAAAGTTTGTAATTTAATTTATACAATATCCTGTTATACATAATTATTAATAACGAACTACAACGTTCACTAATGACTGATTAATCCTGTTACATGCATTTGCCGTATGCCCTTTATGTGCAGGTGCACCATTTCTCTCCACTAATGCTAGCAGCGAATATTTTAGCAGCCGATTGCCACGTCATTTGTCTTGTACTGACTTGTTTGGTGTGTGCAACAGGAAATATTTCGCTTTCAGAGAACAAGAAAAATAGTTTTATTTGTGTTATACTTATTTGTGTAGTTATTCAGTGTCTGGTAAGTTAATGTTCAAGAAAAATTTAATTTTTATTAAAATGTTCTATTGTTTTATATGTTAACGATTACTCATTTATTTCAGCCCTTTGCATTAAGCTAAATAAAGCTTTATTTAAATATCTAAATAAACCTGTGTTTCCATGAAAAGTGAAGCTTTTGTTTTTTTGTGGCTCACTTAAACTTAAACCTTATTTATTTGGCTTGTGTTAGCCTTTGAGTTTGACATACTTGACCCAGAAAGACTTGATGAGGTAATGAAAAGAAGAAAATGGTTTTCAAGGTATTTGTAAAATTTATGTCAAAAAATTTACAAAGCCCTTATTAAATAAAAGCAAAAATTAGAAAAAATCCAAACACTAACATTTATTAACCTTTCACTTGCCATCTTAACAGAGCATCAACTTTGGATCAACTTTTATGTGCTTTGTTTTTATACATCTTAAGGTGACTATTCACCTGGAGATTGAAGGTCATTACACTTTAGACATGTGCTGTCCAATACAGTAGCCACGAGCCATCAATGGCTATTGAGCACTTCAATTGTGGCTAGTCCAAATTGAGATCTGCTGTAAGTATAATATACACCCTGGATTTCATAGACGTGGTTTGGAAAAAATAAATTATCTTAAGGTTTTATGTTGATTGCATTTGAAATGATAATATTTTTGATACAATAGGTTAAATAAAATGCATTATAAGTTATTTCTCATCCATTTTTTAAATGTGGCTACTGGTAAATTTTAAATTACATGGGACAGCATGGGTCTAGACTTCTTGAGTATCTCAAAGTATATAAAAATATCTAAAAATTAAACATTATTCTTTCTCCCCATGAAATTTTTTGTGACTTTAGGACAAGGCTTATCTAGTTTAAATTCAAGTTGGGTAAAGTCTAACTAGAGGCCAGTGGGTAAAAAGGATAATGAAATGAAATGCCTTTTATAATCTTGTTCTAAGATATATCCAATACTTTGCAAAACGTACTGTGTAAAACTATTTTTCTGGATATAAGTAAGGTAGATCTGGGTACCAAATTGGCACTGATGGTTATAGTGGTTCAGTCTCTAGTGATATTTAGGACCTATAGCTTCATATTTTTCTGGAATAAAATATTCTGTACTTTTTGGCTTACAGATGTACATGAAGCTCAGAAAATAAAAGTAATTTCAGTCATTAAATATACCATTTTGTGTATGTTACATGGACTGCAAGTTTTAGCTGTTAGCCAGCAACAGAAGAAAAAAATCTGAATCTAGCATTACATCAAGTCAATTCAATGCTCACACTTGAAGAAGCAAATTTGATTGTTAAAAATTAGTGTGCTAATTGCTGCAACAGCAATTATTTTTTATTGGATACTATATTAAGGATTATATGGGATATAGATATTGTCCTTGCTCTTGAAGAACTCTATCTCATTGGGGGACTATCACTCCTCAGATGTTTTCTCGAGCAAATCACATACTCCAACCAGTCACATGCACAAGAAAATGGGATTTATGTGGTCAAGAGGAGGACCATCCCCTCAGGGCCAACTTCTCCCTCCATGTTTATAATTGAAGTGCCTAGACTGTATAGAAATAATAGATATAATCTTTATTAATTAGTATTAATTATTAATTCCATGTTTGATTGAAGTGCTCTGTTTCAGTTCTGAAGGGCCACCTTGATCCATTTCCTTTGACCTCAGAATTTGTTAAGACCCACCGAAGAATTTCCATCAGATCAAATTAGGAAAACAATGTCTACTTTGTGGCTTCATGTTCTCAGTACTTGCATTTAATGTAACTTTCTTGAGAACAGGCCAGGAAGAAATGGTTCTATTAAAAATGAAAAGGGGCCTCTGTTTTTCTCTCTAAAATCCATAAAGAAAATATATTTTTTGAAAAAAATTAAAAAATAATGAAAAAGGGTCACTTAAATAAGCTGCTAATTATTATAAATACCCAGATGTCTTTCTACTGGCCCGAAGAGACAGGGAAAACACACTAGCTTTAAGTTGGGATTAAATCACAGTTTTAGAACCTTCCCCCAAGTACATTAGGCAAAATAAATACCTTCTCTTTGAGTCTCAGTTTCCTTGTTCACAATGCAGGGATGATAATATCTATTTTATAAGTTGATATTCTCCCAGGTTGTATTTGGAGAATGCGTTATAATGTTTTAAGATGATGATAACAAACATGGGAGCTTTGCTATGTGCCAGGCACTGTGATAAAAGATTCAAAGTACTAACATCCTATATAATAAAAGGCTAATATGCAAATTGACAAAACAGCAGAATGACCAGTTGCTATGCACACTGACCACCAGGAGCTGTCCTCTGGTGGTCAGTGCGCTCCCACAGGGGGAGTGCCACTCATCCAGAAGCTGGTTTCATGGATGGTGAGCGCAGCAGCGGTGGCGGGAGCCTCTCCTGCCTCTGCAGCAGCGCTAAGGATTTCCGACTGATGGCTTAGGCCCGTTCCCCAAGCCATCTGTCAGATATCCCCTGAGGGCTCCTGGACTGCAAGAGGGCACAGGCCAGGCTGAGAGACACCGCACCCCCACCGAGTGCACAAATTTCATGCACCTGGCCTCTAGTCTATATATATATATAACAGGCTAATATGCAAAGTATCCCCTCAGGAGTTCCACCAGGAGACTGGGAGTTCGGTTGCTCGCTATGTGCGCTGACCACCAGGAGGCAGCACAGAACATGGCAGGCAACCAGCGGTGGGGCATGGAGGGAGCAAGGAAAGGAGGAGGGGAGGAGGTAGGGAGGCGGGGAGGTGGGAACCTGATTGGCCCTGATCACTGGCCAGGCCTAGGGACCCTACCCGTGCACCAATTTTGTGTACTGGGCCTCTAATTGTTAATAAAGGTTAGAGTGTAAAAATGCCAACCACAATTCCTGGCATATAATATGTAATCAATATTTAACTCCCATTTACCTTCCTCTCAGTTTTAATTTCTCATTTAATTTACGTTTAGATCAGTAGTCATTTAGCCTAATATTTTTCAAACCTGCCCATTATAAATAGCTGGGAGCTTTGATAAAATCCTGATGCCTAGGCTCTACTTCAAACCAATTAAATTAGACCCTAAGGTGCAAACAAGTTTGAGAATCATGGATAACCCTTCCTCCTCAAATGAGGGAATGCCCACTCTCCAGTTTTGTTACATTTACTCAGAAATTTACCACCTTATAACATCCAGCTAAGACAAAGTACCGGGAATATAGTAGGCTCTCAGCACATCTGCTCCATATAACCCATGTAGTCTTACAGAATAGAATTAGCTTGATTGTACAAAAGAGCTCTTTAGTAAGTACTTTCCATGAAAATTTACTTTCTCGCTGTCCCACAGTTTGCTTCTTTTTAAAAATCCTATATAATAAAAGCCTAATATGCTAAGTGTCTGGTCACCCAGTCGGCCGTTCAACCAATCAAAGCATAATATGCTAATGATATGGTAAGGCTGCTCAACTGCTCGCTATGATGTGCACTGACACCAGGGGGCAGACAGTTGACTGGTCAACCAGTCGCTATGATGTGCACTGAACACTAGGGGGGCAGATGCTCTGACCGGTAGGTTAGCTTGCTGCTGGGGTCCAGTCAATCAGGACTGAGCGAGATGGGCCATACATGTAGCCCTGGAGCCCTCCCGTGGTCCCTCCCTGGCTGGCCAACCTGTGTCACTCCCCAGCCCTAATCGTGTACCAGTGGGGTCCCTCGGCCTTGCCTTTGCCCTCTCGCAATCTGGGACCTCTCTGGGGATGTCAGGGAGCTAGTTTCAGCCTGATCCCGCAGGCCAGGCTGAGGCACCCCACTGGTGCATGAATTTGTGCACCGGGCCTCTAGAGTGTGTGTGAGTGTGTGTGTGTGTGTGTGTGTGTGTGTGTGTGTGTGTGTGTGTATTGATTTCAGAGAAGAAGGGAGGGAGAGATAGAAACATCAATGATGAGAGAATCATTGATCTGCTGCCTTCCGCACACCCCCTGCTGGGGGTCGAGCGGGCAACCCAGGCATGTGCCCTAATTGGGAATGGAATGGTGATCTCCTGGTTCACAGGTTGACACTCAACCACTAAGCCACACTGAGTCTGCTTCTGTCCCTAAGTTCCCTTAAACTTGTTTAATTCTGGAGTTGTCAGTCTCTTTCTTCAGTCTCTGGGCCCTGTCCCCCTTTGGAGGTTATTTTCACTATACCTCTGGAAGTTTTCCCAAGAGAAAAATTTACGAGTACAACTATATAATTGGTATATGTGAAGTTCAGTAGCATGGGAAACTGTGGTGATAGAAATCCACAGTGGTTGACTGAGGTTTCGGGAGGATAAATGGGAAGAAACATGAGTGAATTTTTAGGGGTGATAGTAATGCTCCATATCTTGATTTGGATGATAACACAGATATATTTGTCAAAACTTGTGAAATTGTGCACTTCAGATCCATGCATTATAGTGTCTGTAAATTATAACCTCAATAGATAACATTTTAAAATACTGTTGGGAACTAAAAAATTGGAACTCCATTTGCACATCTCCAGTGTCTTGACTTCTCTTCTGTGCTTAAATACTAGTTGCTAACTCTACTTGCAAGAACTTATTTGCAAGTTCTTCCTGCTGCAGTATAATTTCATTTATAATTCCAATCTTGGAATTACTTTTTAACTTTTTCTCTCTCAGTTCCAGGCCAAAGTTGATCTCTCTAGAGATTCCCTAAATTTACAAACTTAGAGGTTCTGTCATCCTCTTGTCACTAAATAAGTTCAGTATGCTGTGGACAATATGTTCTGAAGAAGTACTAACATCATAATAATTTCCTGGGGCACTGTCAAGAATCTCCCTGAGTTTCCTTCTCCATTTCTGCACATTCAAATGCCTATAAGATGCTTTTCTGACCTTCCTTATTCAGGCCCTTCTCTCTGACTTTTCAGTTCCAACCTAATTCCTTTCCATTACCTTAAAGCAGTGGATCTGGGAACCACAAAGGGTGGTTCCCAGACCAGCAGCAGTAGTAGTAGCAGCAGCAGCAGCACCAGCACCACCACCACCACCACCACCAAAATCTTGTTAGAAATGCAAATTCTAGAATCCTATTTCTCACCTACTAAATAAAAACCTCAGGAAGTGGAGCCTAGCAACTGTGTTTTAACCAGCTCTTCAGGTGACTCTGATGCACAATAAGGTTTGGGAACCTAAACACTATTGCTGCTCCTGCTTCATCTATACTTGATTGTTTTCATTATAAAAACAAAATATTTACCTACAAACAAGGCAGAGTAGTGTCAAAGAATAACTCAAAGTCCCAAAGTCACTTAATTACAGCACACTGTTTACTTGTTTGCATGGAGGATAAATCAGTAGATTGATTTTACCTCACAAAAGCAAAAATGGGGTTTATTAAAAGAAAGAGGAAAGTGGGAGAGAAAACTAATTGTAGTCTGGGAAGAGTGAATCCTGTTTGCACAATTTTTGATTGGGTAACTGATTAGCTGGCAGTAGTCATCTGGGCAGTCTGTCCTTAGCAGGCTGACTAGGGGTAAAAAAAATGGTTTATGAAATCTCTGGTAAACCTTTGTGAGCTAAAGTATGACTGAGGGATTGTATGGTCTTTCTAGCAGCACTTTTCATTCTTAGTTGGACAAAATCTGCACTACTTCCCTCATTAAAAATCTCAGTATAGCTGGAACCTGTTTGGCTCAGTGGATAGAGCGTCGGCCTGCGGACTCAAAGGTTTCAGGTTCGATTCTGGTCAAGGGCATGTACCTGGGTTGCGGGCACATCCCCAGTAGGAGATGTGCAGGAGGAGGCTGATCGATGTTTCTCTCTCATCAGTGTTTCTAACTATCTCTCTCCCTTCCTCTCTGTAAAAAATCAATAAAATCTATTTTAAAAAAAAAAATCTCAGTATAACTGCTGCTTCTCTCTAATTCCTTTTCCCCTAAGTCCTTACTTCTTAGGGAATCCACTTCTTTTTTTTTTTCTTATTTTTTTCTTTATTGATTAAGGTATTACAAGGGAATCCACGTCTAAGCCCTTCTTTGAAAGTGATCATAATATGGGTGCTCTGTAGTGGAGTTTCTACTTCAATGAGTCATCATAGTAATTTTCTAATATGAATTTAAGATGTTAAACCAAAATATGCAAACTTTTCGTTTTCTTGGATTTTTCTAAGGACTAACACCAGTATTTTCACACCCCAACAAACCAAGTGACATCACTACCTAATGAACTGCATGAGCTGACCTGAATAGACAGTAACTTTTCTTACCTTTTAAGTAAATATTTTAACATTAACATTTCAAATATTACTGAAAATATTTTAATTAAGGCATTTAATAGCTGCAGTGCCTGCAAACAGTTAACCATTGTTTCTGCCCTGCAGTGAATTATCACAGAAGCCAATTTTGGCAAATATTTGCTGGCTTCATGCCCACAGGCATTATGAAGCAAGAACTTTTTTTAGATTAAGATTGTAATCTGAAGATAAGCAACATATGATATGCATAATTTTAGAAATTAAAATATCCTGAGATTACATTTCTTCCAGTAATGCTTAAAGGCTGAATTTGCACATTCGTGTGTGTCTAAGTGACCCCTAAGTAAGGAAAATACAATATTTTTCTACTTATACAGTGAAGGGGAAATATTGTCCAGTTACTTCGTAGGTGTTGGCCAAAGTATATAAACTTTAAAATATATATGGAAAATTGAAATTATCCTTTATTATGTCTTCTTGGGATGAGAGGTTTCCCTTTCAGTTGCTCCTAATTATTTAAATGATCACACTTAACACAGTAACACTTCACTTTTCTTAAACATCCAACTCTGTTCATCTCCATTCTTTGGAAACAGCCATGAATCTGTACATTAAAGAAGGAAGGCCTGTGAGTTGCTGAACCCACTCTACACATGAGAAGCCCTAAGAGCTGACTTGAATACACAATCACTAAAGCCTTAGAAAACCCACATGAACAGAACTCGCCCATGCTTGCGTTTGCTGCCTCTACTCATGAAAACCAAACCTTTTCCAGACCGACGAAACTAAAAACATTTTGTAACATAAAGACAATGGACTACCTTTGATGGCCAGCACAATCTCAAGGAGCAGTTATTTCTCGCGCGATGGTAGGACGCTGCCGTCCTGACGTCACCGGTTGCCATAGCAGCATCCTCCCAGACGGGAGAGCGGGTGGCGCGAGAGGCGGAGCACCACTTCTGCAGCGGACAGGGCTCGCTCTCCTGCAGGTCTGACTCTTAGCAAAATGAACGGTCAGGGTGAGGCCAGCAACCCTTCGGTCGCTAAAACCTGCGGCCCCGCCGCTCCCGACCAAGCCCCGGCACAGCCGGACCTAAACCCGCGCGGGAGCGAGGACGCGGAGGCGCCGCGGGAGGTGGAGGTGGAGGTGGAGGTGGAGATGGCGCACACAGGTGAGGGCAGCGTGGCCGGCTCCGCGGAGGGAGGCGCATCCCAGGCCCCCTCGGACGGTGGTCCCGTGCGCGGCGATCAAGTTGCTCGGGGTCGTGATGCGGCAGCCAAAACGGACCAGAAAGAGGCTCGGCCTCCCGCAGAGGGACTGGACGCAGCCCCTGCCTCCCCCTCGGTGGCTGCCGACAATAGCCAGGAAAATGGCTGTCAGCCGCGAGAGCCGTGCGGCCCAGCTGGGGAGAAAGCGCCAGAAGCCTGTGACGCAGAGGGATTGGGGTCTCAGACGATGCCTGGGGCCAAGGCCAAGGACGGGATGACAAAGAAGTGCGCCATCTCAGCGACGGTGGGAAAGGAGGGAGTAGCAGAGGAGGCGGTGGAGGAGAAGAAATTGATACAGAAGGAAAAAAAGGTGGTAGGAGGAGGGAAAGAGGAGGCGCGGGCTAGGACCCCGAAGGCCAATAACTCCATGGACTCGCTGGAGGCGATCGATCAGGAGCTGTTAAACGTAAATGCCCAGGCAGACAGGGCCTTCCTTCAGCTGGAGCGCAAGTTTGGCCGGATGCGAAGGCTCCATATGCAGCGCAGAAGTTTTATTATCCAAAATATCCCTGGTTTCTGGGTCACTGCCTTTGGGAACCACCCCCAGCTGTCACCTATGATCAGTGGTCAAGATGAAGAAATGATGAGGTACATGATCAATTTGGAGGTGGAGGAGCTTAAACACCCTAGAGCAGGCTGCAAATTCAAGTTCATCTTTCAGAGCAACCCCTACTTCCGAAATGAGGCGCTCGTCAAGGAATATGAGCGCAGATCCTCTGGCCGGGTGGTGTCTCTCTCCACTCCAATCCGCTGGCACCGGGGCCAAGACCCCCAGACCCATATCCACAGGAACCGGGAAGGGAACACGATCCCCAGTTTCTTCAACTGGTTCTCAGACCACAGCCTCCTGGAATTCGACAGGATTGCTGAGATTATCAAAGGAGAACTGTGGTCCAATCCCCTACAATATTACCTGATGGGTGAAGGGCCCCGAAGATTTCGAGACCCAGCAAGGCAGCCGGTGGACAGCCCCAGGGCCTTCAGGTTCCAGTCTGGCTAACTCCTGGCCTGTGAGAAGCTCCTGCACCATTTCTTTACCACCTCCTCTTGGGCCCTATGCTTAGCCAATAGCATGCACTCTCCCTTCTGCTTTCTCTTCACACCGGATTATTTTGTTTTTTGGTTCTTCTAAGTCTTCAATCAGTTGCAAGATTATCACTTACATGTCTATGCTCTTCTTCCTCTGGGCTTCCTTGCTGTTCTGCGAAGTGTTATGTGTTCCAAGTGCATGGCCTTGTACTGCTTTTGTGCCAAGCACAGGACGCCGTAGATACCCACTGACTTCCTCTGCATGCCTTGGGCCCTGTCTGTGATGATGGTCTTTCCCCAGGTTTTCCAGTGGTGAGCTGCCACACGTTAACTTGATATATATCTTTGCAAATAACTAGCTGGGCTTCATACTTTATGCTGGCTGTGCTCCTATACTTGGCACTCTGTGGCAAGATCTTTCGAGCTTCACCACTGCAAGATGAAGCTGATAGAGATGATGCCAGCCATCAACCCCAACTGGACACTCCAGGCTACCACTAACTGGTTCCCAGCTGCCTTCCTGGGCTCATGCCATCTCACCTGCTGGTTATCTGGCAGAATAAGCAGGTGACTGGTGGGTAGCTAATAGGCTTGAATGAGGTAGCAGATGAGAAGTCCACTGTGTCATGTTGATCTTCTTATGCCTTTGGTCACTGTACTGTGACCAAGTACTGGTGAGTATGAAAGCTGGGCTGTGGCCTACCCAAACCTGTTTTCAGTCTTTTGGATGAGCTTTGTACACATACCATTGCCTGCCTCTGCAGGAACTATTTGGAATGAAGCCCCCAGGCAGCACACAGGACCCCCCCCTCCCCCTTCCCGTTAACCCCTTCAAATTGTTACCCATAAACCCACTGGCTGTCAGGAAGGTTGGGCAGTCATATGTGACAGTGCCCAAAGCAAGGCTGGAACGGGGGTCCCTTTCTGAGTTCTGGCCAATAAACCACCCTTAATCTAGGCAACTTTGTTAGGCATCCCCTCCTTAACCTATTCTAAGCATGACAGAGTTGCTAGGCTGGGGCACTGACGTCGATGTATTCCTGCCCCCCCCCCTTCTCTCCCTCCCACCTTGTCTCATAGCCCCCCTTTCCTTCCCCTCCTCCCTCAGCAGCAGTTACAGTTCAGAAACAAACAAAACTAGTAAAGCAGGGTTTTTGTTGAATGTGCTCTCCCCTTGATTGTATCCAGAGGGAGAAAGCTACTGTATAATCTCATTGCCCTCTTCCGCCCTCATGCCTCCACCCCACTTCCTTTAGCAAGATCTAAATGTTTCAAAGGGAGACCTATGGGCAGACTGTTTAGTTATGCAGTGCTCTTTTAGACCAACTTGCTCATTTTTACCAAAACCTCCTGTGTGTGTTTTAATCTTTAGTTTGAGAAGCTGGGAGGAGAGACAGAAGCACTTCACAGAGATGGGTTCAAGACTCACAGCAAGTTGTGATATAAAGCAAGCAAAAATTAGTTTGACTCTACTTTTCTAAAGATGGCGATTCTTTGTGGGGGGCCTTGGACCACTTAGAAATAACCCCAAGCAGCATTTTGTGGGTCAACCCCGTGTTCTGTACTATTTTATTATAGCCCTGATGTCATAAGGCCTCCATCCTACTGCCTGGCCCTTGACTCTCAGTCCCCAGCTTCCTCATTTCCTTCCCTGCTTCTGCCCTAACAAAAGAGGGAGCAGGCTGCTGTCTGCATTGGGCAGATGCCAAGTCTCCCTCCTAGGGTGTAAGGAGATAGGTGGCGCCTCTGGATTCTCAGACAAGTTCTAGTTGGTGGGACAACAGTATGTCAGGGCTGTCTTACTGCTGGAGGGGTATGGTGGTGCCGATGACCTCCACCCTTACCCTTTCTCCTTTCTTGATGAAGGCCAGGCCATAAGCTCCCCAGGGCTTGGGAAATCTGGATACAGAGCATTGGGGAGCATGCTCTAAGCTGGAGAAACGGAAAGCCCAGAAACAAATGAGCCTGCTGTGGAGTGGCCTTGGAAAGGCAGGCAGGGGAGCCTGGAACCCTGCAGGTTCAGGGGGAGAGGGGAGGCCCAACGCTCTCCCCAAGAGAGGTGGGAGGATCAGTGGTGATTTAAAGAGGATGCTTGGAAGAGGGTTTCCCGCTAATTTTTCCTATCTCCTTGAATTCACCAGACTTTTATACACATAAATGCAAGTCTAGATGTTTTCTCTCTATTATTCTAGGAGTGATCTTTTATATGTGGAAGATTGATGGTATTTGCTTCTTATTTTGCTGTGTTTGAGTAAAATCCTATTCCCTATTTTTGCTTGCTGGCAGAATTGACATTTACAGCCTTTTTTTTTTTTGCTTGTAATTGAGAATGTGTGCAAAAATATCAAATTTGTTTCCTGTGCAGAATGAAGACTTCTGTGAATATTATTAATATATCAGCTTGTTCTGGTCTATCTTCGTATATAGCTCTATCCTTAGAAATAGAATGGGAATAATGTGATCTTTGAAGAGTCTGAAATTGTGCAAATGTTGCTGTCTTGTGAAAGTAATCTCAAGAAGAAAAACATAACCGTCTTCTTTGGTATTTCTTGCCATAGTAGTAATGTGGTACTTGATATTTTATGTTCCTAACCAGTGTAAGTGCTTGTAGAATTGCTCTGTCAAATTTAACAAGGGTCCTTTTGTTTTCTCCTATGTGCTCAAAGGAAAAGTAAAATCTGTCAGTCTGCTGTATTTCTTGTTTTCACCAAAATAAAAATTAATAAAGTTCTATGTTGTCTAGGTTAATATAAGGTTGAGAAATTACTAAAGTTATCAAATGGTCACAGTAAGCATCATCCGGAAGATTAACAAAAGAGGCACCAGCCACCAAACTTCCTGAGATTTTTTTTTTGCTTGGAAAATGGTAAATAGGCCCATTGCAGCTACATACTCATGGACATAATTTTCTTTCTGTACAACCAGTGATTCAACATGGTGATTCCTTTTAACAGGCACTTAGGAATGTATCCCTCCCTAATGTATTAAACTTTGTTAAGCTTTGATATTTACCAAGAAACTACCAAGGCCAAAATACCAAGAAAGTAAAATTAAGTTTGTTTGTTTTTTTAATGAGTCTGAGAATAGGTGCCTGGTACAAAAACCTGATTGTCAAACAATCTGTGCTGTTGTTAATTTAAGTAATAACCCAACTTCTCTATAGGCCCAGATATCCCATATTCCACTAAGTTTCCTTGGACCAGTTTTCATTATTCCTTCTCCATTTTGGTTTCCTCAGCACAAGAGAGGGAAAGTTGCTAAGTATTCAAGGTGAACATTTGAACTTGACTATGAAGAGTAGACCTGCTTATTGAGGCCTTTAGCATCTGTGGCTTCCAGTGCAAACTTCATTCCACATTGTAGGACTCCTGTGACTCTTGGTTCTTTATTTTACTCTTCCAGGTAAGTTCTGTTTTAATATTTTTAAAGTTACAAGTTATTTTAGGACAGAGCCCATATGTCTTCATTTCTAATCCCTTAACATGTCCCAGCATGGTGATCATTAAATTGAAATGTAGTTTTAGACAGACTTAGTCTAAATCCAATGTTGGAAGAGTTGGCCAACCAACAAAGAGCATGATTTTTGGGGTCAAATTTAGGCTCATGTACAGATTCTGTTGCTTAGTAACCATACAACTTTGAAGGAGCTTATAATCTAACCTCTGTAAATCAGTTATTACATTCCTGATATGGTTGCTGTAGGGAGTAAATAAGGTACATAAAGTAGCCTGGTAAGGAGTCAGCATGCATTGCTATTACATTTTTACCATATTTCTGAGGATGATTCTAGAGACCAACAAGAATTTACCTTTTTGAAATCACCCTATATGGACTGGACCATATCCAAGAATTTTTAAGAGAAGCAACTGGACCACACCGGGTGAGCGCTCTCAAATGTATCTCAGCCTTGCAGTGATCTAGTAGCCAACTCTGATAACCTTGTTATCAAGAGCCTGGAAATGCTACTGCAACATCATTTTTTAATTTTTTAAATTATTTATTTATTTCTTTTTTGCAACATCATTTTTTTAAAAAGCTATTCATGTGATCCTAACAATCAGTTATGTCCAAAGAGACAGATTTACATTCCATTTTTTGCTGGTTTGTTATATAAAATAACCAGTTTTTTCATTCAAACAAGTTCACTAAAAGTGAACTTCCTTTAAATTGATATAAAGTTATTGTGGGATGTGAATTGAGTTTAACAAACTCAGTAGATGATTTTAGATTGTAATTCTAGGTTCAATTGAAGTTTCCGCTGCCTCAATATTCTAAATACCAAATTCTGACAAGTTTGACCACTGTGTCATTCAGAGCTTCCCTCTGCTAATGAGATCAAGTGGCCGGCAAAGGAAATCCCAGCTCCCCTGACCATTATTCTTAGGTATCTTTTAGATTACGAATGTTTGCCTGTATGCTAATATTAAACTTAAGCCTTCTGCCTATTTGCACAATTTCCCTGCATTGTTAGACATGACTTTTTAAAGAAGATCTAGCTTTTCTTTTATAAGATTCTGTTTTTAATTTTTATAGTACCATTTTTGGATGATTTTAAGTCTTCATGTCCAATTAGAAACACTGGCACTTTTAAAAAGTGAAATAAAAATTTTAAAAGTCTAATTACAGCCCAAAAGAAAAACGGCATTCATTATTATCAATGACTGTTCCTGTTATAAAGTTGGAAGGAAACTTGAAGTAACCGCTAACCTCTTTTGACAAGATAGGGAAAACTGAGGTCAAGTTAGGTGGTTAACTTGTTCAGATACTTTAGGTAGATCCTAGTAAAAGTAGGACTAGAACTTCTTTCTGACTTGATTGAATTTTTTTTTTCACTCCTCAGTGGCCCAAAAAGGATAATTAACTTCTTATTTTGGGGTTCTATGTTAGCAACAGTAGTTTGTAAGCACTTAAATATGTATTCTTTGCCATTTACAAAATAAACGTCTAAGGAAAAATAGATTTATTTTTTAAAAGAAATCAAATGTGTATTGAAAGTATACATGAGACAGTATTTATCATTCAGCCTTAAGCTTGATTGTGTATGCTCATTATCATAGTCCAATGAGATTTTGGAAATCAGTTTCCAACACATTATTCTTACTAGTAGATATTAAAGAAAGTTACTGACTTTGAGGAAATAATTTCAGTAACTCTTTACCTACCCTGAGATATTCATCCCCACAATATGTTTGGGATTATTTTTGAGCATTTAAAATATTTTAAATATCTTTCCACTGTATGCATTAATATGCTAAATTCTCTACTATAGTCCAAGTAAAATAACGATGGTGACGAGTGTTTTCTGTTACTGCTCATGGTGGAGAGAGTGAAATTACAACATAAAGAGCAGCCAGGATTTATACTGTAAACATTATCTGGCTCCAAACATCTTGTAACAAATAGCTACTAATATGACTATGCACAGCACATAGAACACAATAATGTGGGATTGTCACATAACCATACACCCTCTTGAAGCAGTTTTTCTCGACCTTTTTCCCCCCCATTATCACCCCCCTCTCCCAAGGAAAAAATTAAACTCAAATTAAGTTTAATAAATTTAACTTTAAATTATGTTCCTCCTTAATGATAAAAATACTAAGGAATAAGATTTTAGTGGGTAATGCTTAGCTTTGGAGGGCTATATTCCATTTGCATTATCTTATTTTTTTCACCCTAGGAACCAATTTCTTTTCCTTTTGAGAATACATGTTTTAAAGTGAATGAAAATGAATTAGACAACCTTTAACATTATTGGGGAGAGAAGGGTGAACCCTAATAGATAACATTGGAGGTTGAAATAGTTGGTTTCTGGTATCATCTCTGTCCCATCCTGGCTGCATGGTATCAGAAGAAATCATGTCTCTATTCCTAGCTTTGGAAAACAAAAGAACAGCACAAAACCTAGTAGCTTGGAAAAACCATTAATCTTACGAGACTCAGTGTCCTTGGGTAAACTGCAGGAGGTGTAGGTCAGTTGTCCCAATCCTGGCCGCCTTTTCCTGGGGCATCTAAAAGATGTCCATGTCCATCTACATACCCAGACTAAACAAACCAGTCCCTAGAGGTGATGGCCCAGCCAGTGGGTCTCAAACCTGAATGTGAATCACAATATTATGACACACAGACTGCCGGGTCCCACCTCCAGAGTTCTAATTCTGTAGGTCTGGGGTGGGGCCTACAAATCTGCATTTCTGTCATATTCTCAGGTGATGCTATGCTAGTGGTTAGAGACCACACTTTGAGAGCCATTGGCTTAGGCATAGGTGTAAATATGTGTGTGTATGTGCGTCCCCAGGTGAATTCTCATCTCAGGACTATTGGTATGCAAAATGTTAGTAAAGTTCTTTTTAGTTCAAAGACACTGAGATTTTGATATGAGAGTCGTTGGACATCTGTAGAAAGAGGAACTATGGAAAAACATCAATTTCTTGATCAATTTTCATTAAGAATCTGTTCCTATAAAGCATTTTACAGTATTTGTTTTACAGTACATTTGCTGCATATGTGGTTCTTCACTTCATATTTCAGTAAAGATAAGTTATTTGTTTGTCAATGTTTCAAAACTTGATAAGGCCAATGGAGGGTTTGGATAGTAGCCAGCTGTTTTTGAATTGTTTGAAGAGAATCTTGTAAATTTGTAGTCCAGGGGTAATTCTGGGGAAAAAACACACAATTAGATTATTCTGCAGATCTCAAAAGGCCTTTCATAAATATAAACATGAATATTTGATAATCATTGATAATAAAACTTATTTTTTATTTTATTTTTTAAAATATATTTTATTGATTTTTTACAGAGAGGAAGGGAGAGGGATAGAGTTAGAAACATCAGTGAGAGAGAAACATTGATTAGCTGCCTCCTGCACACCTCCCACTGGGGATGTGCCCGCAACCAAGGTACATGCCCTCGACCAGAATCGAACCTGGGACCCTTCAGTCTGCAGGCCGACGCTCTATCCACTGAGCCAAACCGGTTAGGGCAAAACTTATTTTTTAGAGTCTAATAAGTTTAATATCTCTTTTGTCACCTGGATAGGTTGTACCTATGATGAAGAGTACAGATGTCTTTCCCTATAATATTTAAAATATTAAAGTCAAATTACATTTAGAGATATTGTAAATCATCTTCAGAACTCAAACTAGTAAGTTTAATTTTAATACCCTCCATGCACAAAAGTTAATAAATAAAATAAGGATAGTCATCTCAGTTTTTTAAATTTAAAAATCAGGCCCCACTCAAGGGATCATGTAATTGGTAAATGAAAACTAATAATCTTCATAGTCCTAAAAATAAAAGTTACTGCCCAGCTGGCATGGCTCAGTGGGTGAGTATTGACATATGAACCAGGAGGTCATGACCCAGGTTGTGCAGGCTGGAACCCCAGTGAGGGCGTGTGAGAAGCAGCCAATCAATGATTTTTTCTCAGCATTGATGTTTCTATCTCTCCCTTTCCCTTCCTCTCTAAAATCAATTAAAAATATATTAAAAATAAAAAAGTATTTTCCCCTTTACCTGCTATTGCTTCAATACTTGGAATTGCAATAGTGCTGTAAGTACTGATTCTCTTACAGGACCACGTAGAAACCAAAGAGTCTTCTGTATTTTCCAGTCCCGAAATGGAATCAGTAAAAAAAGAGCCCCATTTTTTAGATAATGAATATAGAGGCTTTCCCTTCTGTCCCTAAAACGAGAAGATAGAACAATAAAAACTGTGATTAATGTTCAATCTCATTATAATTTCCGCTGCTAAGTAAATAAAAATTAAAAATCAGAAGGATTTGTTTCCCTTAACCAAACTATATATTATTTTAAAAGTACCTTCCTCTGGCTTTGTCTGGGAGCCCTCTCATCCTATGGGATTGGGCCTTTTCCAGCCCTTCTCATCCTTTGGGATTGGGCCTTTCCCAGGATGTTTTCCTTGACCTCCCACACTCAGGTTGGATTAGGTCACTTCTCCATTTTCCTACGTCCCGAGTTTATCCCTAATATACTACTTCTCATACTGTTTCACCCTTGACAGATCGGGATTCTTAACTACATAAGGCTAAGAACTGATGCATTTATGTATCCCTAAGTCTTAGTGCCTAGGACAGAGTAGACACATAAAAATTGCAGACTAAATTAAAGACCCATTCAAAAAATACTTCTCAATGTTTTATGGATATGGCATAAAATTAAGAACTGAAAAAAATCCTCTTCCATCCATATAATCTCTATATATAAAAGGCTAAGTGACCGACCATCCATCTGTCCAACCGACTGACCGGCTGGTACATGTTATGCACACTGGCAATTTAAAAATAAACGTCGACTCGCACATGTGCAATACATATAAAGCTCTTGCTGACGCCAATCGCACGTGATGCCAGAACATATCTGAAGACCAACTATTGGCACTTTGTTGTTGTTATATCATGTTGTTTATTTATTAATCAATTTATCAATCATTGTTTTTATCAATGTTTTTATATCATGTTTATTTATTAATTTATATATTATTTTCATATACATTTTACTAATTTTCTTTCATCTCTGACACTTCTACTATAGAGAAAGGGTGAACAGTGATATTAAAATATTTTGTATTTTAATTTTATAATACTATATTATATACACTATTTTGACATGTAACTTTTTGCAGTAACGTATTACTGCACAAATCTTTCTTCTAATTTCCTTTCTCTGTGCGCGAATCCGTGCACCGGGCCACTAGTCTGGATTATAAAATCTGTCATGCTCTTCTGATGAAAATTTAATTTTGGAGCACACAGTGTTCCAAATATCCCTTTAGATTCACAATTCTTTGTGCTGGAACTCGATTTGTGAAGCAAGATGAGAATGTATGTTTGTAGATGATGGTGTTTGGAAATCATTCAGCAAGAACTTATTTGGATTTCACCAAAGAGCAGTACTGAAATATGAATATCCACACTCCTATGTGTACATCTAAGGTGTATTTCAATATAACTTCTCAATGTCTAAATAGCAGTTTATAGGATAAATTTGATTTAGTTAATTATCCTAAGATAATGAGTCTGAAAAGAAAAAAGGCTCAAATCATCATATCACACATATGTAGAAAATGGTCCTGCAAATGAGTGATAGAATCGAGGCTCCTCCCTAATCTTATAAAGAGAGGAAAATAGATCTATCTACCCTTTCTGGTTCAATGTAATATGGATGCTACTATGGTCTAAATGTTTATGTTCTCCCAGAATTCCTATGTTGAAATTTTAACCTCCAAAGTGATATTAGGAGGTGGGGAGGTGTCTGGTCATGAGGACGGAGCCCTGTGACTGGGTTAGTGCCCTTATGTAAAGTTCACTCTGGGGCTCAGGAGTCAGTCTCAGGGAGCTGCCTGTTTAGTTAAGCTAGACCCGTGAAGAGAGCACAAGAGCTTCCACGACCAAGCAAAAGAGACAGTGTCACTACAGTGAGTCAGGATCTGGCAGCCTCAGCACCAACCAAAACATCCCTGGCGCCGGCACTGGATGAAAGCAGAGGGCAGGGAACACAGACTGACCTGCGTTATCTTGGCCTCGTTTAACAGTTATCCACAAGATCAATCACAGAGCTAAGACGGCAAGACCCCAACAACTGCCAACAGAGTTCATCTCTCTTGGCACCAACAAGCACTTCTTAAGATAAAGCAAAGAGGAACCCTTACCTCATATTTTCCTTTCTTCTCTAGGGGCTCTGATTCCTCAGGCTTCCAGTCTCTGTCCCCTTTGAGCTCTTCCAGGATGAGGACTGTCTCCCAATTGCTGTAATGACGGGCTGGGAAAATATCTGAATGCATGCTGTCACCAAAGTACACAACCTGTAAGTCAGACAGCAAACTCTGGGTGAGGCATTCGAACTGTGAAAGCATGGTCATTGTTTCACGGAAGGCGAAGAAAATTCCTCTGAAAGCTGCATAAACATCTTAAATTTCCTTGAACTTTCTAGGTGACCATCAACTTGGCCCATTTGGTTTGCAGGGTGCCAGGTTTAGTTTAAGAAGTTGTACAGTGCATGTGCAGGTAGAAGAAAGGCAGAAAAGAAGTGATTTTGTTCAAGGTTGCTGAAGAAGCAAGAGTCCATGTGTTTACAGTTAAACCTGCCCCCAGAACTGAAGAACTGGTGAGATGTTAGCGGTGACCTGTCCCAGTGCGTTAGATTAGCAGGAATGCACTTCACAGCCACTTTCCTCAGAGGTCCCGGTTCCATCTGGACCTGCTGACATGGAATCTCTGAGAATGGGGTTGGGCGGGAGGACCCTGGGAAGCTCCCTGGGTATCCCAAGACTAGACGTCCACTGACCTAGTCCACACGCTTTTTACAGACGAGAAGCCGCAGTTAAGGGAATATGAATTACAACCTCCAAGTCAGGCTGCACTGTCCACGAAATCCCTCAGGAGGTCCCAGGGGACTGTGGCAACCTGGGAGCCGATGGAGCAGGGATGTTACCCACTGATCTCTTCGGCTTGCAGGGCTCCTGGTAAACATTTTTTAGATGAAAGCTCCTGCTGTTGAAAATGCCCCAATGTCCAACATGGACGATGTGACCAGGGTGTCAAAAGCCAGTGTGTCTTTAGGCTAGTCTGTCCTGTAATTTCAGTTACTGCTTATTTTACATACAAAAACCTTTAGGGACTGTTATCAGGATGTCACGCCTCAAGCATCCCACACTAATCCAGTGCCTCCCCTCGATCTGTGGCCCCTTGCTTGGAATATTTCCTACACTCAGAGACAGATAAAGGACCTAGTCTACCTCAACAAAAAGGCTTATTTAAACAGAAGAGGTGAGAGAAGAGCTTGGTAGATAAGCAAAGGCAGATTATTTCCCCACAGATAAGCTAAATGCAGTAAGAATCATGATTTTAGCCCAGCCGGCGTGGCTCAGTGGTTGAGCAACGACCAATGAACCAGGAGGTCACAGTTCAATGCCTGGTCAGGGCAGGTGCCCGGGTTGCGGGCTCGATCCCCAGTCTGGGACATGCAGGGGGCAACCGATCAATGGTTCTCTCTCATCATTCATGTTTCTATCTCTCCCTCCTTCTCCCTCCCTCTCTGAAATCAATAAAATATATATTTACAAAAATGAATCACGGTTTTAGTTTATAAAAATTTATGTCTGCAAGTGGGCACCAAGGACCCCGCTCAGTGAGAAAATACCTGGGGCTCAGGCTTTCCAGTCATTTTCTTCAGCAGGTCATAAAGGTGGACAGCGTTCCCCTGGGAGTACCAGCCAGGTTTCTCCAGAGACAGCAGGGCTTCCTGCTCCACGTCATTCTCTGAAAATGCAGCGTGACAGTCATATCCTCTTTAGTCAAGGGAGAGCGCCCTGTTGGGCAGACCACACGCAGGCATGGCTGCAGGACGTGTACAAGACAGGACCGCTGGGGGCAGGAGCTCGCGGTCAGTGCGCACCTACTGCTACAAGCACTTCACAAATACACAAATAGGTCATACGTGTGTGTAAGACTTTAATAAAAATCTGTGGGATGGAATAAGTATAGATACAGGACCGGTATACACTGGAACAAAATATGAAAACCCTGCAGATAAAAATTTATTGAGGGCTTATGTATTAAATACAAGTTTGTGAAGAGGGGAAAAATATTTATCTTTTCTAGTTTAATAAAAAGAGGATTATCTGACTCCCTCATATCAGATGGTTTCTTAAAATCAAGGATTTATATAAGACATTAAACCCATATATAAAACCATCATCAAGCTCTTCCTTTCTACTAGACCAGGGTTTCTTAACCTGACACTACTGAGATTTGGGACCAGATAATTCCTTGTTTGCGGTAGTGGAGGTGCAGTCCTGTGAGTTGTAGGCTGTTTAGCAGCATCCCTGGCTTCTCCCCACTAGATACCCCAGTAGCATCCTGCCTCCCAAGTTGTGCCTCTTGAGACGTTGCCAGATTTGCCCTGAGGAACAAAAGTTTCACAGGCAAAAACCACTATCCTAGACCTTTCATTAGCATATCTGCATATTCTAATACCTTCAGTTTAACAAAGAAAATATGTCTTTCAGCTAACACCTCCATTTTTTGGCTGTCTTCACAGCTAAAATTCTGGAAAGAATTGTCTATAATCATTGGTTGCACTACCTTCAATCAACTCTTCAAGACACTGCAATCTGGTCTCCCTGTACACTGCTGCTCAGGACACCAGTCTTGCCCCTCCAACGGACTGTGTCTCTCCTTTTCAGTGGGCTTTTCAGTAGCATTTGCCCTCACTGATGACTCTCCTCTGTCCTCTGTGGCTTCTGAACACTACTGTCCCCCCACTGTCACCGTCTGCCCCCAGATTGCAATCTTCTTTATCCTTAAAGTTAGTAGTGAAGCTTGGTCTGGGTCTTGCCTGTCCTCGTTCTCCTTATATTTGATCTCATATAAGCCCGTGGCTTTAAATACCTGTCCCTGGGCTGATGGCTCCCAAATTTACACCGGAGCCAACCTCTGTTCTCCTGGACTCCAGGCTCACTTACACGATTTCCTCATTGATAGGTCCAGTTAGATAACTCTAGGCATTTCAAATTTACTATGTTGAAAGATGAGTTCTTAATAGTTGTAATCTCCACCCCACCCAAATTTCTTCTATATTCTTCCCCCTGGCTGCAAGTGATATCACTATGCACCCACCTTTTCAATTCAGGAAAAAAGAAAAATTAATAACCTGGAAGTCATTTTTGATTACTCCTTTCATCTGCTGCTTCTAAAGCATCACCAAGTCCTATGTTTTCCACCTCCGTAATACATCTTAAATATACAGGGCAGGGCAAAGGCAGGTTTACAGTTGTTTGTATAGAAACTAATACAATAATAAATAACCATATAAGAATAAACTCTGTGTTTCATGGAGTCACAACTATAAACCTACTTTTGTCCCTTCTACCCATGTACTTCGCACCATCTCCAGAACTACTGCCTCAGACCAAACAACACCATCTCTCACTTGGGACACTGTAAGTGCCTGGTCTTCCTCTCTAACCCTCCCCACATCCAATGCATTCCCCACCCAGCAGCCAAAGATGTCTCTATGTCACTCTTCTACCTCAACTGAATCGCTTCAGATTGCTCATGGACTAAAACCCAAACCCCTTCCTTCCCACAGTGTATGAGGCTGCCTGCCTCCCTAACGTCCCCCCTCTCCGCCCATCCCTATGGCCAGAACCACAGGCCTCTTCTCTGTCACTGGAACTCAGCCAGACGTCTCCCACATGGGGCCGCTGTCCATCCCACCCACCGCCAGGAACACTCATCCTCTGCTCTCCTCATGACTCACCCACCCTTCAGGTCCCTCCTTACAAGTCACCTTGCCTGACCTTTTCAGACAGGCCTTCCCTGGCCAGCCACGCAAGGTGGCCTCATTAGGTGGCCTCATCAGGCAGTTCCTTCCTTCACAACGCGCAGTGCGACCTCAGGGGTTTCCTGCTTATGTTTGTTTATGCCTCTGTCTGGTGCACCGAGGACCACTCAGTGCTTGACACCCAGGACTCTGAACTTAACCTGGATTCCACCGTTTCTGGGCTCCTCAGTGAGCAGAGAACCAAGCTACTGTCAACTGCCTTGCACTGAGTAGGGCTTTTAAGTAGCACAAAAAAGTGCTAAGTTAAAAATACTGCATCACTATATCTTTATTTTTCCTTTTGTTTATAAAATGGTGGTATATTTAACACATTGTTTTACCTTTGTTTTTCACCTAGTATACATCGTATCCCATATCAGTATACACAAAACCTCCTAACACAGTAGTTTGCACATGGCTGTTAGCCAACAGATTGTTTACTGAATACATGAATGAACAAATCTTAAAGGGGAGAAGAAATAAACCAAAACTAACTTACCAAGTGTCCGGAAAGGTCTTTGACTTGGTAAATGGGAGAAGAAACCAGGCTTCAATGCATTTGTAATCACAATGTCAAAAAGATCTGCAAAATCATTCCTGAAAAGCAACAGAATTTTAAAATATTTATTTTAAGGAATTAGAAACTGTCTATATAAAATTGAACTTAATCTTCACCTATCTACTTGACCACACCATCATTTCTTATCTTTTGATGAACTTTTTACATGCTTCCTATACATTTTAAGGTAAATCTTACACTGGAAATAAAGGGTGATTTAGCACTAGTATTTCTGAACAACACCTTGACATAAACATAAGAAAAGAATATTAACTCTTGGTGCTAAGCTTTCTCATAATGGTCACAGTCACGGTAAGTGAATTCAATAGTTTCCAATAGCTAGAAATATTCAAAGCTATGTCTTCAGCGAGTGTTCAAAATGTGAAGAAGATACTTTATTTTGAAAATCAGTGTGGTCTTATAATGTGGCAATTTTTAGATAACAACAATCATTGTTTTCAATCTGTACTTAATACTATATTTAGGATTATTTGAAATGGCAAAGGAATGGTAGTTCTTGCTCTTGGGGGACTCCATGTTGCACTGGGGAGATAATATTTATCCAACATCCCCACATACTTTTTGGGAATCATTGAATGTTGCTGGGGAAGACACGAGGGACATGTGTTCCATCCACCCTTCAGAAAATCTAAAGCCCAGGTCATCAGCAAGCTATGAGCATACGAAACCCCAGGAAAACTGCTTTGCTAAAACATACTTGGGTGTGGTGCGGATGTTGAGAGATATTATGAGAAATAACCATTTGCCACTCAGCACTGTTTAATATACTGGTAAGGTCATGGTGGAGCACATTTATAGAATGCACTGGTCCAATGTGCTATCAGTGTTTTATAAACATGAAAACAGAATGTCTCATCACTTACCCCAGGATATGGTTGCAGAGAAGTCTACAGTAATCACTGTGAGAACTGGTGATTAATACAAGAATTTTCCCAGCATTCTTCAGCTGTCGAAGCCATTTTTTTACAGATTCAGGACAACTGTGTAAATACTTGCCGGGATCTCTTTTTATTTCTGGAAAATATATCCCACAGTTTTCTGAAAAATAAAAATATCAAGGAGATTTTTCTTTTTTTGACTCATCATGTTCTCAAGTTAATCTCTCTCAAAGCTATATAAAAAAATATAGCAGTTAGTACTGCTTCTTAAGAATACTACTTTACTTAGAAACATAATGATGGTTGAAAATGTCAGTTGAGAATATTTTGACTACTTCACAAGAATTGATAAACTGTTAAAACATAAAGAATTTATTCAGCATTCTCAAATCAGAAATATCAACTGATTTTGAAATATCAACTATATTTGTAATATCAACTGATATTTTTCCTTAGCTATACATATGTGTCTAGTGCCCTCTAGTGACCAAAATATAAATTACTATTAAAATGTTACTGTCCCATTTTCAAATGAATTTAAAAACAGCATATAAAGACTGTATCTTAAAATTATTGGCTAGATTAATTTTATTAGTATCCCTTAATAAGCCTAATGGAGAGTATGCAATAGTAACAGTTCAGCTGAGAAAACTACTCTGTTCACAAGCACATTGAAATGAACAAACTAGACAAACTCTGGACAGATACCCAATGGTACCTTATGGGTTGCTCCTACTATAAAAGATCATTGACTGTTACTGGGAAAAACACTTCCATCCCCTTGAAACTTCAAATCATTGAAGTAATAGGCGCTATATTATACAAATAGACATCCATTTACTCCTAAAATTTATTTTTATTAATTGGCATATAACATGCAAGTTTAAGGTCTACAGCATTATGTTGACTTGCTACATTTATATATTGCAATATGATTGTCACCTTAGGTTAGCTAACACCTCTATCACGTTATACTAGTACATTTTGTGATGGAAACAATTAAGATCTAGTCTCTTAGCAATTTTTAAGTTCACAACACAGTGTTGTTGTATATAATATTCTCATCTTTTTACTTAACTAAATCAAGCTGATGAACCACGGAAGTGTTAGGTTAATCATGCTATAATTAAATTATCTCCCCAAAGAGATTGTAAAGTTCTAAAGGGAGGGTGTGTATCTTTCTTCTTGGTATGGAGCAGGCATTCAGTGAATACCTTAATGCAGGGACAGACACAGGAATATTTATGTTTGTTTATATTCAAAGTAATAATATGGTTTGTAACATATAACCTGTGATGACAAAAACATTGCCCTATCAAAGTCATCCTATCTAAAGTACCTTCCTTTTTTTTAATCCCATAATAAAAACACATCATGTTTAATTATATTATGATCTGATAGATTAACACTGACTGCACAAGACAGGGAATTTTGACCTAAGGTGGAAAGAAAGGAATGGTCTTGTTTGTTTTCAACTCACAAAGTACTCTGTGTTTTCAGTTAACCTCAAAGGAATTCTATTTCACTGCCATTTTATGTAACTCGTTTTCCTGGCCTTTCCACCCCTCTAATACCCTTAGATGCTGATATTTTCTGCAAACAGATGGGGATCGAACCCCAACTGAGCGCTAACCAGATAGGGCCAAAAGTAAAACTTTTAAAAAGCTAGTTCTAAAGAATAAAAGTTTCACTCTCCTACATTAAAAAACTGATTAATATTGAGTCATGGAAATAAACAGCAAAATGTTGCAACAATCTGATATGCACATAAAATGGCCTGCATATATCAAACATAATTTTGGATTTAGGGATCTCTTTTGATAAAAAAAATTAAAAAGTACAACTTGAATATTAAAAATAACTTTTAATTTAACAGGTATTTGTGCCATATAACTATTTCTATCATCACAGAATAAGTAACCATTTTTCCTTGTTAACTGTATCACTACTATTTGTGTGATCTGTGGCTGGAGTTTTCAAAGCTGCTGTCCAAGGGGATTACAGATGTTGGGATGCTAACACCCCCCCCTCAGCCGCCAGTGAAGGTCTGTGGCTGTTTCCAGGGCAGAACATCGTTTAGGAGAGACTGAAACACGAGCAACCTTTACAAGTTGCAGAAGAGCATGCTAGCGAACAGCCAGAATGTTTAGCTATGAACTAAATGTATTTGCTGTAAGGAACAATATTTGTGAAATATACAATTTTTTTTGGCCAAGAGACACTGAAATGTGTTTTTAAAAATATATATATTTTATTGATTTTTTACAGAGAGGAAGGGAGAGAGATAGAGAGTTAGAAACATCGATGAGAGAGAAACATTGATCAGCTGCATCCTGCACACCTCCTACTGGGGATGTGCCTGCAACCAAGGTACATGCCCTTGACCGGAATCGAACCTGGGACCTTTCAGTCTGCAGGCCGACGCTCTATCCACTGAGCCAAACTGGTTAGGGCTGAAATGTGTTTTGAAGGATAAAAGAAATAAACAATAGATTAAGTATGTTCTGAATTTCTTTTATTTACAGGAGGCAAAAGATAAAACTGAAATTTAATATTAAAACAAATATTTTCTAGTTAGGATCCCTTTGCGGTTTGTTTTAATTTACTATATTTATAAATGAAGAAATCTAGAATACCTAGATTGAGTAAAGTGAAAGAAACAATTATTGTGAAGATTTGACAAAACGAAGGGTTTTTGCTTAAGGTAGCAAATTGATGGAGAAGTAACAACATCTGTTTACTTTCTCAGCCATGAACGCTTATCTCTGGGGATAAGGATGCCTTCTATCCTCTTGGGATAGGGAGGATACATTCACATGGGAGATGTACTTCTTGCTTTTGGGGGACAAAGGACAGTCAGAGTGTTCTTGCACTGGCTGCTTCTCAAGTAACTTTAATTCAAGATAATCAATATGTCAAAATGACATGTTTGGGTCTGGCTGCCCTGAACCCCATCACCTCCAAAGAATAACTCAAAGGTTTCTAATTGTATACATTTCCAGAATGCAAATATATATATAGCTTATGTTCAGCATCATAGCTGAACAATTCCAAACATTTTAATGGTTTTAATTTAATACTGAATTTTAAATATGGACTATTTATAACTAGAGGCCTGGTGCACAAAATTTGAGCATGGGGGGGAGGGGGTCCTTCAGCCTGGCCTGTTCCCTCTTGCAGTCCAGGACCCCTAGGGGGATGTCCAACTGAGGGCAATCAGACATCCTTAGCGCTGCCCCAGAGGCAGGAGAGGCTCCCGCCACTGCCGTTGCACTTGCCAGCCATGAGCCTGGCTTCTGGCTGAGCAGCGCTCCCCCTGTGGGAGCGCACTGACCACCAGGGGGCAGCTCCTGCATTGAGTGACTGCCCCCTGCTGGTCAGTGCACATCATAGTGAGGGGTTGAGCGGCCTTAGGATATCATTAGCATATTATGCTTTGATTGGTTGAACAGCTGACTGGACTGGACACTTAGCATATTAGGCTTTTATTACATAGGATTATCTTTACTTGTAATAATAACTGACATACTTTAAGTAATTATTTTTGCCAAACAGAATTCTAAGATTATTAATGTATTTACTTATTATAACAACCACGTGAAACAGGTCCTATAGCATTTTCATTCTGCAGATAAGGAAACTGAGTTATAGAGAGGCTAAGGAACTTGCCCAAGTCATAGAGCTAGAATGTAGCCAGTCTGCCTCTCTGGTGATATGGCATTTGAGTACTCTGTAACTCCAAGAATACCATAAATTCTTTTTTTTTTTTCCCTTGGATAGCATCATAGATCAGAGGCTATGGAATTGATTGGAATTTGAATAAGTGGAATTTGGCAATTTGAACAAATCAAATTAGATTTCTGCAGAGGAAAAAAGTAGCTATTAATATGCAATCTGCCTAATTATAGTCACAGCACCTAGAACTGAAAGGGGCCTTAGAAATCGTCTACTTCAAACCTGTCCTGTTAAAGATAAATTAATAGAGACCACAGATTTTGCTTAAAACGACAGTTGGTAACAAGCTTCAGAAAGGAATAGAGTGTTCAAGAATCCTAGTCCACTAAACCTTATGTAACCATATCACTTACGTGTCCAAATCTATGTGTTTTAGGTTTAAGTTACCTGGTGATCCAGTATCTATTAAAGGAAAATAACGTTTTCATAAGTCAAATGCTTTAAATGGTATACGTGCTTTGCTCTGTAATTACTGAGTTATGTGCTTTCCCTCAGAATTCCTAGACATTCTTAGTAGTCAATGAGCTGATGTTATCTATGCTACTATCTGGGAACTGAGATCTTCTATTGAGATGGGGAAGGAAAAAAAAATATCTTCTTAGAAGGCTCTGTCCTTGCTTTGCTGCTTAGGAATGTTTGCAACTCATCACAAGGTTGGTCTCTGTGGAGCCCTTCCCCTTCTCCTCCAGCCAGGCCACCTCTGGACATCACTGCACTACAAGGTACTAAGTACTTGCAATGAGCGTGTTTATGTATTTTTTCTTTCTCCTGAGACTGTAAGATCTTTAGGAAAGAAACTGTCTTTACATTCATATTTATATTCTTGATGTCAGGCAAACAGCAGAGGATTAATAATTGTAGAAGTGTATGTGTGTGTGAGGAGAGAGCTACCAGACAAAGACGGACCCCGGCGATCACCATAGAGAGCAGAGGTTGGCAAACCACAGGCCGCCAGCTAAGGAAGGTTTTAGCCTTTTAAATGGTCATATAAGTATCTGTATAAAGCCTATAACCTTTATAATCTGGTCCTTTAAGAAAAAGCTTGCCTATTCCTGATATACATACAGTATTTCTAATTATGGGCCCATAAGAATAAATAACAACTGATTATAAACCAATATTAGAAAGTGCCAAGCCCTGGCTGGTGTGGCTCAGTTGGTTGGGTTTTGCCCCATGCACCGAAAGGCTGCTTTTGCCTATGCCCGGGTTGGGGGCATGCAGGAGGCAGCCGGTTGATGTTTCGTTTTCACATCAATGTTTCTCTCTCTCTGTCTGTCTCTTTCTCTCTAAAAATCAATTTTTAAAAAATCTTAAAAATATAAAAACATAATAAAAGATTGATTTTAGAGACTTTGTTTAAAGGTTATGAAGCCTCTCAGCAGAATAAATATTATAAAATCATTGTGATAAAACTGTCTTCTGAAA